CCCGGGGCCCGCGCAGTCCCCGCCAGGCCGCGTTTCTGCGGAGCCGCGACCTCTGGTCACTTAATCCTGTTAATGCTTCATCGTCGCCATGTCCCCCTCCTCCTCCTCGTTACTATTCACCAGGGTTCCTTCTTGGCCGTGTTAGAGCAGCCTCAATGGAAATGGGAAATGAAACCGTCATAATGTACCCACAGAGCCCCTCTGCCCCCCAGAGGCGGGTGCTGGCCCGGGGCCCGCGCAGTCCCCGCCAGGCCGCGTTTCTGCGGAGCCTCGACCTCTGGTCACTTAATCCTGGCCCCTGAACGTGCTGTTAATGCTTCATCGTCGCCATGTCACCCTCCTCCTCCTCGTTACTATTCACCAGGGTTCCTTCTTGGCCGTGTTAGAGCAGCCTCAATGGAAATGGGAAATGAAACCGTCATAATGTACCCACAGAGCCCCTCTGCCCCCCAGCTCATTCGTCTGCACTGCCTTCTGCTCTGGGTCCAAGCACGCGCTTTGCATACACGGGCGGTCACGGCTTCCTCTCGCTATTTTACACTGACTAGCACGGACATGCCGCTGCCTTTTGGTCTTCCTCGTTGTCATTTCTAAGGCTCTCCGTGACACAGCCCCGGGCACCAGGCCTCTCTTGTTTATCCACGCTCATGCTCCTGCGGCTCAACGTTGTGGGGGTTCCAGGCTTTTCTTGTATTGCAATGACAGAGACTGCTGTGGCAAGCATGTTATAAGGGGCCTTCTTTAGGTTACCCCAAAATATTTACCGAGTCCTCAGATGACTTATCCTGAAAAGGAAAAACCATCCAGAACATTCACACTAAAGAGGATGGATGGGTGGAGCCTCTCCCATCATTGAGAAGTTTGGAGTTCCTTTGGCTGCTTTTTTCAATAATTAGTCATGTATTCCCACTGGGGAGGGTTTAGCGCACACCCTGTTGCCATACAGGGAAATGCCGTTGTACTTAAGTCTGCGCTTTGTGAATTCAGCTGAAAGTGGGTGCAGCCTGCGGGATTCCAGCTGCTGCTCTTTCCCGGAGGTCAGAAGTCCAGGACGGGTCTCCTGGGGAAAGTCAGCTTTGCCAGTGAGTCTGTATGCAGCGGCTCTGGTGGGAATCCATTTCCTGGCCTCTGCCAGCTTCTAGGGTCAGCCCCTCCCTTCACCTTCAGAGCCCACGATGGCCAGCAGCCTCATGTCCCAGTGCTGGGGCCTCCCCTCCTCCTCCCTTCTTGGAGGGGCCCTGGGGGTTACATTGGAGTCCTCACCCCTCTCCAGATCCTTAACAGCATCCCCTCTCTGAAGCCCTTGCCACAGAGGGTGGCATTCCCGCTGCAGCGATAAGGATGCCAGTGCCTGTGGGGCCGTTCTGCCGCCTGCAGTGCCTGTTTGTGGGATTCGAGCCTCAGCGTTTTCACCTGAGAAAACTCCCCTCCCGGGAGGTTCAGGCAGTGGCTCCGGGTCGAGTGAGCCAGCGCGTTCCGGCCTCCACTCCCCAGCCCGGCGTCCAGGCCGTCCCGGGAGATAGATTATTGAAAATGAAATTGAATTTCCAATCATATCAGCCACCACAAAGGAGCACGCGGACTTCAATGCCTGAAACTCCTCCAGAATATATTGCGTTCCCCAAAGAGCGAAGGATGCCACGCTCGATTTTGAAAATTGCTCCTGAAATTCTGTTCTGCCTGGTCATCGGGCCTGATGGGGAGATGGTGGTGTGGGGTGTGCTGTTCTCAGGGTGGGCGCTGCTCATCAGCCCTGCAGGGAGGGTCACCCAGTTGCCGCCTCACCTTACTGTGCCTGGCCTATAATGTCGTGAAGTGAGGGAGGAATTAATTTCTCTCAGCTCCTGGCAGAGTTACACCCTTGGTCTAGATTACAGACTTCCACTGGTTCTTTAATTAACATTGCTGTGGCCAAGGTGGAAGTTTTAATTAATGTGGGGGCATTATTATATTAATTTTAATTTAAACGTAATGTAAGGATGTTTTCCTCCCTCAATTAGTTTTCTGTAAGGAATCTTTTTTGTTGCTGTCAATCCTCACCTGAGGATATTTTTCCCATTGGTTTTTAAGGGGGGGAGGGAGGGAGAGAGAGAGAGAGAGAGACACATTGAGTGGTTGCCTCCCACATGTGTACAACCAAGGGCCAGGGATGGAACTTGCAGCCCTGGCACGTGCCCTTGATCAGGGGGGAACTGCGACCCCTCAGTCCAGAGCCGAGCTTCTGAGCGGCCAGAGCAGGAATCTTTCATTTCACGTGAACGCCTGAGTGTAGCCTTGGGTTTGCTTTTGTTCGTTGCTTCATTCTTGTCTTTATAGAACCAGCATCAGTTTCATCAAGAAGAGGAAAAGGTGACGAGTCTCACACCTCGGGGAGTTTTAAAAAGCGATCTAGGAAAATAGGATTTTAATAGATGGTTAATAGACGATAACAAAGCTTTATTATCCTCTGGCCATGAAAAAGCAGCTCATTAGGTTTTGCCTAAAAAGAGGAGATCGCGGACCGTCAGGAAATAGCGTCTCTCGGAGCCGCCTCTCCTGGGGTGCGCTCGGGGTGGAGGAGTTGGCGTCGGTGGCTCTCGCTCTGCTAACCCCACCCTCGCCCTGCTGACCCCACCCTCGGTATAAAGTCACCTCGGTCACTCACAGTGTCTCAGGCAATGAACACGTGGTGTTGTTTGGGGAATAGCGACGAGAAAAAGAATCTGTGCAGACACAACCCTCATAGGTCTGACTGTCTAGCACATCAACAACAACGTATCTTTAAAAACATATATTTTCAACCCGTGGCTGGTTGAATTGCGGCTGTGGACCCCGTGGCTATGGGGGGCGGACAGACTCGAGCACTCTGCAAGTGCTCACTCAGTGAGTGGGAAAAACACATCACGTTTAGAAGCCTCTGCCCCCAAAAGCATGCCCGTGGCTCTCCCGTTCGGCGCCCGGGGAGCTGGGATCGTACATGAGCACCCTCCTCCTCCTATGTGGGGCAGGAGGGGCTCCCCCATGCTGACCGCCTGCCTCTTCCTCCGCGCAGGCGGCCTGAAGTGCCCCGTGTGCAGCTTTGTCTACGGCACCCGCTGGGAGTTCAACAGGCACCTGAAGAGCAAGCACGGCCTGAAGCTGGTGGAGACGGAAGGGGAGCCCAAGTGGGAGGTGAGGCTGCCGAGGCGGGGCCGGCCCGACCTTCCTCCGCGCAGATGTGTCCCAGGCACTGGGTTCCTGGCTGGGAAGCCTGGGCACCTACCTCCGCACATCCTGTCTCCTGGCCGCGGGGCGAGCCCGGGAGGCCCTGCCTGTGAGCTCCTCCTCCTCCTCCTCCTCCTCCTCCTCCTTCATCCTCCT